AAAATAAAATAAAATAAAATAAAATAAAATAAAATAAAATAAAATAAAATAAAATAAAAAAACAGTAGTCGTGTCATAAAAAGCCATTTATAGGGACTCAGAAGATGGCTCCATTGGTAACATTTCCGTCATACAAGCATAAGGACCTGAACTCGGTTCCCCACATCTATTTAAGGCAACAACAAAATGCCAGTTAGAGTCACGGCTCGCTGTAATCTTAGCATGGGGGAGGCAGATACATACAGATCCTGAGTTCACTGGCCAGGCAGTCTATCCAATCTTTGAGCATCTGGTTCAGAGATAGACCCTGTTTCTTAAAGATAAGATTATGGGAAATATCTGATGCTTCCATATACATACAAGTACACACTTATACCCACATACACAAGTGCACACACAAGCACCCTCTGTACACAAGTACATTCACATACACACACACACACACACACACACACACACACACACACACCCCTCCTTTTGAGGTAAGGAAAATTAAAATATGTATTTCAAAATCAAGACATTTGAAAAGATTTATTTCATCATTTTTATTCTATGTGTATGTGTATGCATGCATTCGTGTTTATGCCTGTGCACATGGTGCTTAGAGAGACAAGAAGAGGGCACTGGACCCCTGGAGCTGGAGTTACAGACATTGTGGGCAGTGTGACGTGGGTGCTGAGAACCACACTCAGGTCCTCTGCCAGCACTCTTAGCCCTGAGCCATCTCTCCATCCCTATGGGACATTTTTATTAGTAAATGGATTTTCAAAGCCATTTGTCCTCTACAGGAGAAGTTGTTATCTTTTGAAAATGAGATGGATAGTGAGGCAGATGACTGTAACAAATCCATCTAAAAGCATACATTTTTAATATAAAGAAAAATTCTTAATATAAAGAAAAATTAAGTTGTTTACAAAGTATTATTAATCATAATTTTGGAATACTATCCCTAAACTAGTAAGAGATTATAATAGATTCTAGATAAAAAGGTAGATGTACCAAAATTTAGTACATTTGTACTATATTTGTACACACATATATATTTGTACATATATACCAGTAACTGAATTTAATTGAAATTTAAAATATCATTTATGAAAAGAAAGAAATTAAATATCAGCAAAACTTATGAAAGACCAATTTCCAGAAAAATTAGAACAAATGTCTTTAAAAAAATTAATGGAAATATAAATAAATGGACAGATATAGTTTAACCATGGATTAAAGTATTTGAGCTCCATTTTTTAAAGAGATTTGTTGTGTTTGTATATGTGTGTATGCTTTAAGAATTGATGGGCTGGAGTGATGGCTCAGTGGCGAAGTACACTGGCTGCTTTTCCAGAGGACCTAAGTTCAATTCCCTGTACCCACATGGTAGCTCACAGCTGTCTGTAACTCCAGTTCCAGGGGACCCACCACCCTCACACAGACATACAGGCAGGCAAAATAGCAACACACATGAAACAAACCAACAAACAAACAGATAAATAAATAAATAAATAAATAAATAAATAAATAAATAAATAAATAAATAAAATCTAAAAGCAAAAAGAGTTGATGATTCAGGGCCTGGAGAAGTGGCTCAGTGTTTAGGAACGCTGACCGCTCTTACAGAGGGCGCACGTTCAATTTTCACCATTCACGTGGTGGCTCACAACCATCTGTGACTGCAGTTCCAGCTGAGCCAATCCCCCCTTCTGGCCTGTGTGCACTAAGCATGCACCGGGCATACAAACATACATACAGGCGGGGAGCAGACCAGCTGTGAGACAGCAAGAAGCAAGAGTATAGTGTTAGACTGCTGACCCTCCCCAGGGAGGTGGCCAAGCTTCGGCAGTGGGATATCCAACCTAAAGCTTCCATAGAAGCTAAAACGCTTTATTGTCTTCTCATAGACTCTTTTCTTCGACACTTAACACATTGTAATCATAGCTCTTATTTTTTTTGCAAAATTTTATATGTGTGTGTATGTATGTGTAACATTGTAACACTTTAGATTTTGCTATACAATCAGTCCTGTGCATCAAAAAGCTCTACATTTACAGATTCAAATAACCTCAGGTCAAAATTATGAAAGAAAAAACTGTGTCTGTATTGAATGAGTGCAGACATTCCTCTTGCCATCATACCCTAATTAAGATAACATAATAATTGTTTGCGTTGTGTCTGCATTGCTTTGGGCAATCTCAATAATCTAGATATTTAAATTATTTAGGGAGATGTGCATGGATTATGTGTAAATCCTATACCATTTTCTGTAAGGACGTTCAGCATCTGCAGATTTTGGTATCTTGGCGGGAGGAGATCTTCTAAAATGATAATACCCACAGGATTGTATCTGTATTTTGTGATGAGTCGTCGAATCAGCTTAATTAACACGTCCATCCCCACACATGGTTTTCTTTGGTGAGACTATTAAGATCTGTCCTCTCTTCGATTTTCATGTGTAGCTTGTGCTAACTGCAGTTACTGTGCTATTCAGCTGATCTTCAGAATATTCATTCTGTCCAGCTGGACACCTTTATTTTCATGTCAGATGTCACTGTTTTTAGAAATACTAGACTGTGGTTTAAAAATGAATAAACAACAACAAGGAAAGAACAACAGTGAGGCTTAGGGAGATGGCTCAGTGGGTTTAGCATTGGCCGTGCAAGCACAGGAAGCAGAGTTCGGATTCTGGGAACCTCCATTATAGGCAGGTAGGCATGGCAGCCCACATGCAAGCCCCAGGGCAGGGGCAGCTGGCTAGGGACACTGTCTCTGGGTTTAGCAGGATACCCTGTCTCAGTATATAAGGTAGAAAGCAACTGAGGAAGACACCTAATGTCAACATCTGGCCTCCGCATAAACACACACACACACACACACACACACACACATACACACACACTTACCTGTGTATACATATATACACCCACATATGTGCATATATGAACACATGGGCATACACATGCAATAAAAGGGTAAATATTGGATTTGGGAAAACATTTATTTAATAAGAAATAGACTCTGAGGGAAACAAATTTCAGTAAAGAAATGTTTAAGTATTATTGTTCAAACATCATATCAGTTAATCTAGTTAGAGTCGATGTGGACAGCACTTGGCCGCCTCTCCCGTGAACGCCTGTTTGTATTTCAGGTGCTGGGTTATGGGTAACAGGCAGCATTCTCTCTCCTTTAATCTTGATTCATGGTGACAAACCATTCCGAGGAAGACACTAGGAAGCAATGTGGACACTGCTTAAGGCCAGGCCTTTACCGTGAGCTGTGCCCTTTGGACTCCGGGTACTGTGTGAGCACTGGCAAGAAGCAGACTTCGTCATGGGATCAGTTTGGATGTACTCACTTGCCTTAAAGTTTTAGAGGCTGGAAACAGTTCTAAATGTGTATGGCTCAGATCAGTGGCTCCTCTCTCTCTTTGAGTAGTATAAAAAGAAGAAATTAAACATACATGCAGTTACAGTTAGCATTTATATTAGCCATGCTTTAGTTTTAGCCTTCCATTTGAATTTAAAGTTAATGCACCAGGATGCCTTGCAAGGTGTTTATCTCTGTGTTTGTTTTTCTCTCAGCATCTGAATGTCTTATGTGCTGAAAGCAGGGCAAGACATTAGAAATAAAGAACTGAGTAAGCTATGAGCCTTAAAGAGAATTTGGAATACATTAATTATATCTAGATTAAAATAATGTATATTAGAATACTGGTTCAAAAACATCATGTGGAAGTAATGTTGGGTTTGCTGTGTAATGCTGTGGGCTTGTTTTCATGACATTTCTAAAGGGTTCCAACTCTGTCCCTTCTAACATCAACAGAAATTGAATGCCATACTTGTTTTTTTTACTATAAATGGCTTACTTTGTAATAATTTCACATTGTATACGTGCTGTGCTGTTTCTGACGAAATCAAACCTTGGCTTTGTCCTCCAGGATTTAATGTCTGTTTCATTTGTCATTGCGCCTTGATTTTTTTTTTTCTTTTAAGTCCTTCGCCCTGTGTTACCTAACTCATATTATTGCCTTGTGCTGTTTTCAGTTTTGAGTGTGCCTTACTGTGCTCAGCATTAGATCACAAACCTAGAATAGATGGGGTTAGAGGTACTGAGTAACTACGCTGTGCAGTGAAGCAGTAAGCCCACTATAAAATACTCACTCTTCCTATAATTTCAGAGTAGCTTCTTTCACTTTTTCTAGTAAGTCAAATATTGAATGTTTCTGCATTATTATGGACCTAATAATATAGTGGGGGTTTTTCCTATTTTTTCTTTGTATTAAAGCCTTACTAACTAAAAATATGTAATATCTCTGTTTTATTGTCTTTGCCTATTCAAGATTAAAACTGATAGTTACTGTAACCCATGTAGACTAGTACACCCTCGGAATGATTGTTGTCATTAGGAAAAGGATGTAAACTAGACATTTTCCTTGAACATAAATTTTGTGTATTTTTTTCTCCCCTTTCCCAATCTCCAACCAACCGCCCCGCCCCCAGCACCACCACCCTCAGGTTCCCCTGTGTCTTTGAGAAGGCATATGGCCACTCCCCTGAGACTGCCTTGAGTTAGAGACAAATCACTGTGGGAGCTGAAATAGACATTGGGAGTTTTTATTATTTCCTTGTATGATCCTTCTGTCACAATTAGTTTTATATTATTGCTGCTAACCATTTCATTTGAAACTAATCATTTAAAATAAATCGTTCTATTAAACAGAAATTTGTGATTGGTAGTAACAGATGTTCTTTAAAATATCTTCTCTCTTTGCAGTTTTGAGAAATGGTGCTTGGGAAATTGTTCACTGGGAAAAGGTATGCATTGGCTTTTATTTTATTCTGGAAGAAATGCATAGACGTGTGCTTTGTAGACATAATATTTGTATATTTGATAAGCAAATGTCAACAACTGCACTAATATGGAAACTGTTTAGTAATTACTGTAAACATCTGTGAAGCCTCCACTTAGCTACATGCACTGAGCATTTCTGTACTCTTCCAGGAAGGCTTTTCTTCTGGAAAGTACTGTCTAGAACATTTTTGTTTCACAGTATTTTTTGGGTACTCTTTCCTAGATTTTATTTATTTTGTGTTGTAAATTTTGTTTTAATCATCTACTGTCCAAGTAAAAAGAAAAATTCGAGTTCTGGTATTTCACATCTGCATGTTTAGTTTAAAATTCATACAGCGAAATCATGCCATTTATATTTTACTACTATTTTATACAGACCAAATGTCATTAGGTCAGCTCTGTGCTTTAGGTGAGTGGGTTGAGAGGCCTACAGAGAGAGGAGAAACTGTGGGCAGGGGCATCTCTATGACAAGCTGGGAGGCTATGGCGGTGACTCTAGCCGAGACTCCTAGTAGCAAGGGTAATGGACACGAAGAGGACACCCTCTAATTAGACAGGACTCCTAGTGGAGAGATGGGAAAACCAAACCACCCACAAAAAACTTCGACCCAAAATTTATCCCAACTACAATATGTGCAGGAATAAAGATAGAGATTGAAGGAATGTCCAACCAATGCCCGGCCCAACCTGAGACCACACCACAGGAGAGAGCCAACCCCTGACACTATTCATGATATTCTGCTATACTCACAGACAGGAGCCTAGCATAGCTGTGCTCTGAGAGGCTCTACTCAGCAGCGGATCGAAACAGATGCAGACACTCACAGCCAAACATTGGACAAAGCAGAGGGAGTCTTGTGGAAGAGTTGGGGGGATGGATAGAAGGACCTAGAGGTGACAGGAGCTCCATGAGAAGAATAACAGAGCCAACAGGGCCCAGAGAGACTTGTGAAGACTGAAGCACCAACCAAAGTCCATGCATAGACTGGAAAAAGGCCCCCTACACAAATGTAGCAGATGGGCAGCTCAGGGTTCATGGGGGTTCTCTAGTAAGAAGAGCAGGGCTGAGTTTGACTTGGACTCTCTTGTCTACTTTTTGATCACACGTCCCTGGCATGGCTGCTTTGCCAGGCCTCAGGAGAAGAGGAAGAGCTCAGTCTTGATGTGACTTGTTGATCTGGAGTAGGTGGGAAGGAGGAGTTCACCTTTTCTAAGGACTAGGGGAAGAGGGATGGGGAAGAAAAAGGGAGGGTGGGACTGGAAGAAGAAGAAGGAGGGGGCCAGAAGTGGGATGTAAAGTGGATCAATTAAATAATTAATGAAAAAGAAAATACATATTAATAGAATGAAAATTTTAATAAATATTTTGGAAAGACCAGTATCTCATGAAGATGATTATATAAATTTAAACCTCTACATAACAAAAGATGCCCAGATAACTGAGGAATATATTAAATATTTGTACCAAATAAGACAAAATATTCAGGTTATTATTCTTTAAGCAAAAAATAATCAAAGTCTGTAATAAGCAAGAAGAAATATCAACTAGACTCAGTATAATGGTCAGTCTAACAACAAGAATTGCAAACTTAAATACAATTGTTGTTTTATTTATGGTCAAATAAACGTGAGAAACTTGATTTCCATATTTTTGCCTTATATTGAGTTAATATACTGTTGTGGACTAGTAGTTTGACTGCTCATGATGAAATCCACATAGAAGATTCTGGGAATTTATAGCCCATCTCTACAAACAATCAAAGGAAAAAAATGGGAGGAAGTCTACATCTGCAATTTTTTTTACATTTAAAACTAATATACGCATACAGTAGAGAAAAGACAAGTAAGTTACAGCATCGCGCACCCATATTTTATGACAAGTAGACTCTAATTTTACATACTATGCTGACATGGAAAGTTTTATATATTCATCCAATAAATATTTATTAAATGTATGTGCCAAGCAGCGGATGCGCTCGTAGCAGGTAAAAAAAAAAATGTAGTGGCTTTTATATCATAAAATATAATCACAGGTGAAAAAAGTAGGGCTGTGCATACTGAGCTGCCAGCCATATAAACATAATGACCTGAGCAAGTGGCAGACACAGAAGCAGGCTTCCTTGTTGGCCTGACCATGTTGCTGGGACAGGTCTTATCCTTGGTCCACATGATACTTTGTACAATAAAAAATGAACTTAATAAACTTGAGCCAGTAATGTCATCCATGTGCTCCTGTAATATGAGAAACCCTTATGCAAATGGACTTTGCTTTTGGGTACTTTCTCTGCAATTCTAGGCATGCAGATGCTTTTAACGGTCCTCGGAGGACTTAAGGATTTGCCCTTGTACGTTTAGTCATCACAGAACAGCAGGAAAGCTCTCAGATGTCAGCAGCCCAGCCCTCCAGATTGCCATGAAGAGGTTTCTCTGTTACAAAGTGAAATTTCAAGAATCCAATTCTAAAAGAAAAGTGTTGCAATGGCAAAGCTCCCCGAAAGAAGCTGTCTCTCTTGAGACAGAAGCATAAAGGCCAACTCTTCACCCTGACCTGCGCAGGTCAGGTTTTTGAGACAGGTACAAGTAGAGAATTTAGATGAACGATCTCGAAAACAACACATTTTACTGGCTTAGTTGGGACGCATGGCGTGCTGAGCTGTGTGCATACCTGAAAATCATCCTGCAGAACTATGCAATGCACACATTCCCACCACGAGATAGATTTCTCAGGATGAAAACCATAATTCTTAAAAATTCCCCCCAAAAATAAAAATAAATGTTGTTACCTGTGATTGAACATAGTTTGATTCTTAAATAAGCCCTTTATAGTTTGATAATTTTACCTCTTTTTATTAATCCCTGATTATAATTGCTCATATCAGTGGCTTGAGGGAATTTAAGGTCATAGATGGAAAGCCCTAAATATTTCCTTAATGTCCTCCAACTGGAAACATGGTCAAAGTGTTTCTTCCATCACAGCCTTTCCTTCTCTCTTACTCTCTTATTTTGGAGTGAAGAGTGCCACATTAAGAAGCCAGAACCAGAGGAGAGCTTTGCAGCCAGTCCTGAAGATACCTGATAAAACAGAATCAGATGAATGGGGAGGAGGTCCCCCCTATCAGTGGACTTGGAAAGGGGCACGGTGGAGATGAGGGAGGGAGGGAGGGAGGGACTGGGAGGGAATGAGGGATCGGGCCACGGCTGGGATACAGAGTTAATAAAATGTAACTGATAAGAAAAAAATAAAATTAAAAAAAAATATCACCTTCTCAAAAAAAAAAAAAAAAAAAAAAGAAGCCAGAACCAGAAGGAGAAAATGTTGCTTTGGGTATTTTTGAGAAACTAATCTAAAACATAGGCAAGTAAGGGAGTTCCCTGATTCCCTCAAGCAATGAGAACCACTCGGGCAATGAGTAAGCTCTCCGCTCTCCAGGCTGCTAGAGTTGACTACAGTGCACTAGACACAGAAGGTATCAGATTTCCTCCAGCTTAGTCATAACCCAAGCCCTTCTGTTGTCTTGCAGTGAATAAAGATGTTGGAAAGCGCTGCAGGCAGTCGGGGATTTTTATAAGTCAAACGCTTCAGTCTAAGGCTCAAGGAGGCAGTGCAGCCGTAGTTTTACGAAGCATGTAGTTTAATCGGAGGAAAAAAGCATGAACATACCAAAAGAAGTGACTAGAAAAACGGTAAGTGTAAATATTTGCTATCCCTTAATGGTGTGCAGTAACCAGCAGCACCCAGGACCAGAAGGTTACGAAAGACAAATGCTCGGCGATCAAGTCACTTCTCGGGAATGCCACGCCAATCACCGTTTAACCATTCTTTAACCACCTCCATCTGTTCATGCTTTTTTGAGCTGGTGTGTGTTCTGTTCCTACCTCCTTGGTTTGCTGGCACTTTTAGATAGTCCACATGGCAGGTTTCAACTGAAGTGATTTTTTTTTTTTGAAGAGCACATCTAGTACTTTCCTACCTGAACAGCTGGCATATAGACTCCAGCCTTCCCTCGCCTGTTTCTTCTAATCAATAAACTAGAGTACAGGGCCCCCCATCTGCAGTAATTCCCTACAGTGATTGCCCCCTGAGGGCCCTGTTCCCGAGCAGAGCCAGGTTGCTGCTAAGCTGGAGACTCACTGTTTGCCAAAAGCAGTGGGAACACTGACAAGTTACTTCTGACAGTTTCTAGCCACAGCAGAACTTTATTCTGTACTCAAGGGGGGGGGGGGGGGGGGGGAAATGCTACCATATAATGAAGAAATGCTGCTGTTTATTGTGTTTGCGTTATAACGATAGTCTCACTACAGTCATGCAAAAATCAGGCTGTGAGATAGGTAGATAGGAGCCGTGTGTGGTGGTGCACACCTCTAAGCCCAGCACTAACGGGAACAGAGGCAGGCGGATCTCAGTGAGTTCCAGGTCAAACAAACAAAACAAAGCAAAAACAAAAGAGAGAGAAAGAGAGGTAGATGTGTTTGAGTCTCAGCTTTTCCACTATCCGGAATGTGTGACTCAGAAACTTAGAATCTTAGATGTTTTCTTCCTCTACACTTCCTTAAGGAGGGCAGAGGTTTTAGCCAGTAGATTCCTCCTTCCTATTTTTACGTCAAAAAGAGAGCATTTAAGAAGTTGAGATGTCAATCAAGTATGTAGAATTGATCAATAAATTTTATTCAGATAAAAACAAATATACATTCACCCCTAAGTAATTTACAGCTATTTTGTGAAGATTGAAACTTTTTTTTTTTATTCTGTGCATTAATGCAATGGGTAGTTTTTTGTTTGTTTGTTTGTTTGTTTGTTTGTTTTTTGTTTTTTTTTTTTATATTTCCATGCAGATAATTAACCAATTCCCAGTTTTCTTTCAGGTAAATGTTGGAGATATAGTTATAATAAAAGGCAGAGAGTATATACCTGCTGACACTGTCCTTCTCTCGTCAAGGTAGAGACACCTACTGATGCTCAAACAGGGTAGAGGACCGTTTCTCTACCCTGCATTGACCTTGTGATTCCTCCAAGGAAATAAAGAATAAACGAAGAATTTCAAACCTCTCGTGATTTTTTTTTTAAATTAAGCATTAAAAAAAAAAAAAAAACTGATTGGCTTCATGTTTGCCATATAAAAAACACTTATCAGGTACTACATGACCAAAACTTGAGAGTCTCCTCTTTCTCTGGCTACATCCAGATCCATGTGGTGTGTGTGGACCACGAACTCTGCTTACGACTCCCTGTCATTTATATTACGCAATCCATGGATTGGGCTCTGTTGATTTTTCTCTTTTAGTCCTCGTTCATGATAAATTTCTTTCTGGTGCAATCATCTCTGTTGCTAACTTTCCTATTCCTTATGGTGAAATGGTACATGAAAATGGATGAGTGATTTTTTTTTGTCATTGTACCTGTCCAAATGCTACAGTTTTCCAGCCAAAACTGAATACTTTGTTCTTTCTTTTGAGTCTTTTCTGTTACTGAATTTAGATAATTTTTGTTGTATTCACATTTTAAGATATAGTTGTGAATCAGTGTTCCAAACATATGGATTTAGGATTAAAAATTATCACACTAGTCCTTGTATAAATTTAGGATTTAAAAACCTTAAAACTAGTCCTAAAATAAATTAAGAAGAAAAGTGTTTTAATTTTCTTGAGGTTGTTTATCATCATTTCCTTGGACAGTTTGATTTATAAAATCCACATAAAAATATGGACAGTGTCCTTTTTTCAAAATCTATTTAATCAGGTCATGATTTAAAATGATTGGATTTTTCACAAACTAGTGAAGCATAATCAGGAAAACAGTTGTTTCTTGGCTATTGATAGAAGCATGTATCCGGGCATTTGAAATATTTCAGGGCGTTTTTATTTCCCTACCTGACATCTTTGTGCAGCGCCAGTGACTGCTTTTTAAGTCTGACTTTCTATTCTTCGTTACCTTAGTTTCTAACTTTGTCAGAGAGAGTTCCTAAAATGGAACTATTAGCTTATTGGCTTTCCTTGGCTTTTTGAGGGCACGCTCAAGAGTGTGCTTGAGGTAGCTTAAAATTAAAAGTTTTATCACTGAAGAGTTCCGTTTTTCACCGACTTTCAATTCGAAGTGAGCAAACTGAAATGTTAGCAGGTAGCTGCTAATACATATATGCGGCAAAAACATAAAATAGAAAAGCTAAGGCCTTGATTCAAGTCCAGGCAGATTTCCTGGTTTGGCTTGTTCATCGCCTCCACCCCCCACCCCACCCCCAAAGATTTTTCTCTGTATATAAGGGCTTGCCCTCCTATATTCTCTAAAACACAGTATGTTACTTATTCTTTATCAATTATTAAATAACTCCAAATGGTGCAGTCATGCCCTCAAGCTGCGTAAGACACACGTCTGTGCATCTTTACCCAGTTAATACGCTAGGGGTGCGGGCAACTTCGAAAGCATTTTGGGGTCTGAGCAAAGTTACTTTTGTAGTATGTGAGAGAGGAAGTACACTTGTTCTTCAAATAGCTAACAAATAATTTCAAAATTACTTCTTTCCTTCTTTGATAGCAGTAAACAAAGCTGATAGTAAATCGAGGAGTTTTAAAAGAGGAAATCTGCACAACAAACTAACTCCCTATAAAAAATGTTTTTATTTAATTTGATAAGAGATGCGAATATGTAAGCTTTAAAATACTAAGTTTTCACATTAGAAATTGAAAATTGTGGGCTTAAAATCAAACAACCAACCTTTGAATATTAAATATTTTCATTTCCCTTCAGGCCTGATCAAAATAAGTTTTGAAAAAATTGGCATTAGACATTTTTATTAACATGAATTCTTTTCTATAATAATTTCAAACCTTCTGTCTCTTTTGTCCATTTGTTTGGTTTTTATTTTCTCTGTTATTTGTCCCCCCCACCCCACCCCCATTTTAATTATTTTAAACCCGGGACATGTAGGTGGCGGTGGGGGGAAATAGTGAAAGTGACCAATGGGGAACACCTCCCAGCTGACCTCATCAGTGTGTCCACCAGGTCAGAAACACAGAGTTGTACAGGATGTGTGCATGTGGGTCCTCACCTTAAACCAAAGAACAATTGCACCCAAATGCGGTTGAGCTGGCTCCCTTCCTTTAAAGCGCACGTACTTCTAGACGATGTGCATCGGAGGTGTTTTAAAGGCACTTTACCAGTATACTTACGAATAAAGTGCTGGCTGCTGCTGCTGCCTGTCCCTCAGCTGCGCAGATTGATGTCCCGAGAGATTTTAATTTCCCGTGCTTTAGTCACGTACTTTCTAACAAAACGTGCCTCAACTTCAAGGCTTTAGTTATTAAACCTCCAGGATAATATGTGTTAACGGCTCTCCGTGAAACGGTCATGGAGAACTGATGAGAACCTGCCCTAAGCAGGTTTTCTTATTCTCCTATTTTAAGTCTTTCTACGAGTTCTGTGGAATTTCCGCAGCAACTGCGACTAAAATTTGGGCTTGTAGAGGGTTTATAGAGGACCCCTGCACAAGGCTGGATGTTGCACACTTTTGTACTGCATGCCTCGGGATCAGTCTTGATCCCACCTGTAACCTGTGAGCAAGTGCGCCTGGCTGCGGTCCGTGTCCGCCGTCTCCCGGTGTCTGTTCTGTGGTGTGCGTCTTGTTTCGTTTTTCCACTTACTAACCAAAAAGCTTGCTTTGCCTCTGACTGTAGTTTGTCTTGGATGTTATCATGACTTGCTGAAGCATTTACGAACTAGCATGAGCCCTGACTCTGCCGCCTCTTTGCAGCCCTTTTAGAGCTACTGTCCTCCCAGCCGTCTTAAGTCATGATTAGGACTGATCCAAATTGGGATGTGTTTGATTGGCTTCACGTCAGGAAGAAGTCAGCCGTTTTAAACTTCCTGATTTCCTAGTCATTTGAACCTCAGTACAAGTTGTTCTATGCGGAGGGCAATATTAGATTAGAATGTTGCTCTCATTTTGATATGAGGCTGGTTTTGCATAAGTATATTTATTAGTAAAATTAATTGCCGGTCTCAGTTAGAGTTTTGTTTGTCACCTATTTTTCTTCGATAGCGGAGAAATGTGTTTTACAGTTTTAACCACTTATGTTTCAAATAAATGAGGAAATTATAAAAGTGGACAAGTTGCCAAACTGAGAATAACTGTTGAGACCATAAGTAAAATAGTTTTTGGAATAATTGAAATGAAAATATAAATACGGAATTTTTTTCCTCTGCTTGGGAAATAGCAGCCTATATTTTAAGAAAGCTGATAGGGAAATTTTGGAGAAAGTGCAAAATTACTTTAAAATGAATCCATAAAATTTTCTTGATGTCTCGTTTTTAAGTAACTTGTTACTATCAGGGGGACAAAATTAAGGAAATACCTATTTCTTGGCACTCAGCACCGTCTGTTCTGCACATGTACAAATTGGAGGTTGATTAAAAAATTCCAGTATCTGTGACTTGTAAATTTCTTTTGTATTCAGTTATTTATCAGATAACAAACTAAGCTGCATATTCTATAGCCAAATGATAATGAGATTGGTTTGACTTAGGAATACTTTTTGGGTTATCTTCAGAATGCTCTTTTGTAGAGGTGAGGATTCAGGTTACAGTCAGGCCACGCTTACATGTCTAGACCAGCCAAGCACATACAGTGAGACGGCTGCAGTAAAACCGGAGAACCCAGTCCCCAGGCCACCACATAGAGAATTCACTTCAGACCCTCAGAGTGGCAGCTTCGGGACGTGGAGCTGTGTGGCCAGGTGGGCTGACTTTTGCTTTAGGAACGTCTCAGGGAGGCTGGGTTGACGGACCAGTCTGTAAAATGCTTGCTTGTACACATGAGGGCCTGAGTGCAGTCCCTGAGACCCAAACACGCATGCACCTGGCCACACACGAACATGCACACACACGAACTCCTACTTCTCAATCACGTTTTTTTTTTTTAATAGACCATAAAAGATAAACCATAATGTCCACTCTCATTGTAGACCATATCCTTTAAAAGTGTCCTTAAGCCAGGCCTAGTGATACACACCTTTAATCCCAGTACTTAGGAAGCAGAGGCAGGCTTGGATCTCAGAGTTCGAGGCCAGCCTGGTCTATAGAACAAATTCCAGGACAGCCAGGGTTACACAGAGAAATCCTTTCCAAAATAAATAAATAAATAGCCTTAAGGCTTTAATATTATGTGTTCTGTGCAATCTTGTCATCACAATACAAAGGCTATGATAATAAGCACAAGCTTGTAGAAGGAACAGTCTGGAAGTTTTTAATCAACCATTTTAAGTAACCAATTTATATGTAGGCCATGAGCATGCAACCTGACTGGATATTTTTGAGCTGGAAATAGATCTGGACGCACACCTGCTTTAAACCTCAGAAACGGTCTGTGCTGCGTCCACACGGATAAGCAGTTTAAGACAGGGCAGCTCCTCGCTTTGTCCTCTAGAACACCATCACTGAACGTTGTCAGCACATGGCTTCTTGGGTTTTCCTGGCTGGAAGGCTGATCTGTGAGTGTTGTGCACGTGTCTGCCTCGCACCGTCTTGCTGTTGGAGTGAAATCATCTGGAAGCTAGGTGACTGACTAGAGCTTTGTGTAGAACTAATGGCTTCGGAGAGTCTGAGCACTTAATTACTAAGTTGCAGTTAGCGTCTTCCGTTCCTTTCCCAACTAAATCCTTGTGTTTTCCCATGGTGATCAAAAGTGAGCCCCAGGCTATGTGCTACATCGAGACATCCAACTTAGACGGCGAAACGAACCTGAAAATTCGACAAGTAAGTTCTCCTGTCAGCTCACGTTTTATGATATGTGTTTAACAGCCCCTAGCTGTGTGGAAGTGATTCTGTCTGAATACAACTTTGAGTCATTGTGAAAAATATTTCATGAACTGTTTACAGTTATTGTGGGACTCAGATTTACGTTCCTGGTTAAATATGATCCATCATGAACGATTACTTATAATATTTTAATTACTTTGTGTAACAGCCAATGCTTTTATGATTATAGTAGTAGTTCTTAATGCTTGTGGGATGGTGGGGTAGAGAGGGAGAAGAGAGAATATGCACACAACTCTGCCCTTGTTGGCTTGGATTCAGTATAGAGACCAGGCTGGCCTCAAGCTCACAGAGATCTACCTGCCTCTGTGAGTGCTGATTAGAGGTGTTTGCTATCGTATCAGGTGTTCTAAGTTCTTTGATATGTTAGCTTATTTTTCTTGGCCCCCGTTAGCATTGGTTTGCCATACTGAAAAGCCAAGTTTTCATTGATCTTCAGAAATACATTTATCTTGGGGCTTTAAATTACTTTATACTTCTGTGTTTGCTTTTTATACTATGTTCAGCAGAAAACAACTGTAAGCTTTGGCTTTTAAAAGTTTAAAAAGGGAGTTTTTTGGTTTTTTGTGTTTTGTTTTGTTTTTGTTTTAATACCTTGGCTTCTTGGTGAATGGCCACAGTGCCAGTGGGATGTTCAGGTTGTGGTAGAACTGGATCATCATGAGGGAACGGAACTCAGCTGTCTAAGAAGGTGGGTGTCTTGAGTGCCACACTCAGCTGACAGAAGCACTACTTGGAAGTTCTCCCTCTCAAAAAGGAGGGAATAAGGGATGAAGAAAAGGAGGAAGAGGAGACAAAACTGTTCTCTTTGGATGCAGATGTCTCATCTCTTTCTTTAGACTTGGGAGACGGAGACTGTAGCAAATATTGACTTTATTTTTAAAAGTAAGTGGTGCAATGGGCACTTCAGAACTTTCATAAAAGTTATATTATTCGTACTAAAAGTCTGTGCTCACATTGGTAAGGAGGTACCCCTAAATTATAGTTTGATAGTTTTGTGAAAAGGAAGAGAATTAACTTGAAAAATAGTGAGGCTCCTTATCTGTAAGACCTTGGAAAGTGCCCCACCCTCACAATACTTAATTAAAATGCTGTCTGTTTATTTGGGAATATTCCAACAGGGCTTACCAGCAACATCGGATATCAAAGACATTGACAGTCTCATGAGGATTTCTGGCCGAATTGAATGTGAAAGCCCAAATCGACATCTCTATGACTTTGTTGGGAACATAAGGCTGGATGGACATGGGTATGTAAACACCGTGTCAGTCTGTCCCGCCGAGTGTGTCCTGCATCTGCCTGCATGTGATTTTCTCCTGCTCTAGGTGTGAATACTCACTCACAACGTTTGTTTTAAGCACGTCTGTATTTCAGTTCATACCCTGTGCGAGGGTGCTGTGTAAGGATCCTCACTGTTTATGTAATGGAATCAAAGATCTTTAAATGTTCCTGCCAGTCTGGCAGTTAGATGTTTTCAGTGATGTCCCTGGACTCTCAAATATTCTTTTGTGGGTAAATAGCCCATGGCTGGTTCTTTGGCTGACATGCTTGCCATGAGGTTTCCTATCCAAAGACCATGGCCACAGTCCATTCCTGTGACCTCTAGATGCCACAAGGAGTTCAGACTGTCCTGCAACAGCTGGATAGATTTTGTTTGTTTGTTTGTTTTGTTTTGTTTTGTTTTACCTCCTCTGTATAATCCTGTATGCTTTTTACTAGGCTATGCTGCCATCTGTAGTCACTGTTTTCTTGTTTGTTTACTTGTTTGTACCTGATTCTCATCTTCCCTGTCACTTCCTTAGCTTCTCTTATTCATTTAACCAGAAGTTAGCATGCACCTCACAGCCTAGCCCCTTGGTTCTCAACCTTCCTAATACTGTGACCCTACAATACAGTTCCTCATGTTGTCATCACCCCCAACCTTGAAATTATTTCGTTGCTACGTCACAAATGTAATTTTGCTACTGTTATGAAGCATAATGTGAAAATCTGTGTTTTCCAATGGTCGTAGGTGACCCCAAGAGGTCACAACCCACAGGCTGAGAACTACTGGTTAGACCATTTACAAATATTACATAGGCCACAGTGAACAATCAGATAAATATTCCTGCCTCTATGTCTCAATTCATTCACTTTAAGAAAGCACCTTAAATTCTAATAATCTTTCAGTAACAAAAATCCACTGCTCACAAGTCTGGAAGATCAAGGCACCAAATTTTGTGTCTGGTACGGGAGTGTTGTACCCTGTATCCTGTCATGATGGAGGCCCTCAGGCAACCTTTGTAATGATTTAGTCCCTGTCACAAGAGCAGAACTCGTGTGTGTGTGTGTGTGTGTGTATGTGTGTGTGTGTATGCTGCACATGGGTGTTAAAAGCATGCATGTAGAGACAACAGATCAACCTCAGGTGTTCCTCAGAAGGCAACCACCTAGTCTTCTGATACAGGGTCTTGCACTGGTGTGAGCTCAGTGATTGGTTGGCTGGCACACCAATATCTGGCTTTTTAAAAAAAAATTTTAATATGAGTTATGAGAATCAAACTATATGATTGTACCGCAAACTGAATGATTGTACAGGAAACAATTTACTGAATGAGCCATGTCTCCAGCCCCATGGTTGCAGAAATTTCAAGACTTGTGTCACCCCTTTCCCAAGAAACCAGTATCCTAATGCCACAGTATTGAAGACTGGATTTCAGTACCTAACTATTGGAAGATTACGGACACATACCATCCGATTTTGTGAACTTACTTTCCTGTGGTAAAGCAGGTGGAGGGTAAACAGAAATAAAGGAATAAGTAAGAAAATTTCATCTCTTATTATTTTGTAAAAAGCAGTACAGCCTTTGGGAAAGAGAGCACAGGCCAAGAGAGGAGGTAGGCTTAGGAGGGAATCTCTTAGGATGACTGAAGTCAGCCTTCTTTAGAAGACAACGTTTGAACAGTGATGATCCGGATACTAGGAGCTTAATCACTGGAATATCTGGAAGCAGAGGATTCTGGACAGAAGAACAGTGCAAATCACTGTGGGTTGGAGGAGCAGAAGTTGAGGTGAAAGGCAAAAGAAAATGATAGGCCAGATCACATAGGACTTTGTCGGCCATTATAGGGTGTTCTGAGGAAACATGGGATCCATGCATGGGTAATGAAGGGGAAACATCACTCCTTTGGTTGTGGACTTAATACATTTATTGTGTCCAATAGGTATTTGAATATATGTCTGAACTTTGAAAGTAGTCTGTACAGATATTTAAACTCATGGGGCTGTAAAAAAAATCATTGAAATTGAAAGAGTGTAGACAGAAAAATTGAAGGACCCAACAACTGTCTAGAATTGGAAAGCTGAGAATAGAGCAGGGACTAGAAATCAAATTCGTGCGCTAAAAACCAAGAAAGTGTAATGAAACTGCCAAGAGGAGAGGGAGGAACAAAGTTAGGTCAGCTGGCACTCATGGCCAAGTGCAGTGTGGCTGAACATTAATATTTGGGTTTATGGAGTGGAAATGTGGCCGTTGATTAGAACAGGTGGAGCCTGATGAGGGTGAGCCTGGCCTCATGGAGAAGAATTAAGTGTAGGCTTTTTTACCAAGGAGTTTTATTGCACTGCAAGGCAAAGAAATGGGACAGGACAAGGGTGTTTTCTGCCCCACTTCTGTTTCCTGTTCCTTCTTTCCGTACCTCCTCTACACAACAGAGCCTGTCTACCAGATAGGTGTGGTGGCCAGGTAACCATCAGCTATATGTACTGGTTCAGCCAGTTCCGTGGAATGCTGTCAGTGTTCTCACTATTAGAATGATGCAAATTTAAATGAGGAACTAAGACAATGGCATGTGAAATACACCCTGAACTGACATCCTTATCTAATGCACCAAAACTTTCCTATGATCTTTGAGGTAATTGTTAATTCAAAAATTTTCAGGGTAATCTTTTCTTGAACATATGGTTGTAGACTAATGATAGATTTGGCCATTTGTACAAGTATCATTTCTTAAGGCTGACATTTTAACTGGCCAGCTTCCATTCCTTACCAACTTCTCATTAAATCGGTTCCAGGCAAATCCATGCCACAAAGAAAATGTTATATCATGGTGCCAAGATTCAAGAAAGTTTTTAAGTTTTATAATATGCTTAATTTTATCAGAAAGGTTGAAATGAATGAGTGAGACAGGTGCTCTGAGAGGAGCAGGCAGAGTGGGAGACGTGCAGTAGATACATGCCAGACGTGATACTGAGCTCAATCAATTAGATGAGGAGCCATGGCTTCACCTGAGCCCTAGAGAAGAATCCAGGAACCTCTTAAGAACTTGGTGGAGTCTGCTTTTCCTTCAGCACCCTCCTCCCCCAATCCTGAAGTGCATTCCAGATGTTGACATACATAAAGAGAGTTTGGTGGTTTCAATATGGTGTTGTCCCCTAGGGGGCTTGTGTACTGGAAACTCAGCCCCCATTGTAATGACTACAGACTAATCCAAAAGCAAACCTTTTTTCATATAAAATAACCAGTCTTCATGCTTTTTATAAGCTTTCACAAAACGGACTAAGCTTCATTCCCCCGTTGGGCCCTACGGGCTGCTATAGGATGTAAGTGATGGGAGTTGAAACACACTGTTTCCTGAGGACTCCTGCAGGGGCCATTCTAACCCACGCATATGGATTGATTTCTGAGCCAGGAGAACATATTTCATGAGAGAAAGCCCAATGTCCTGACTATTGCTAGCCTTAGAAGCTTAGTGGACCACCTAAGCCCACCAGAAATGGAGGTTCCCCATCTCACTTGTTCCTGATGATTGACAAGTCCTATATTTTTACAGAGTCTATTGGAAATGGTCTCTTTCATTTCCCAGAAGTTTTAAGTATATATTTCTTTATATTTGACTTTTTTTGTATTACTTTCTTCTTGAATGAAAACCCGCCTTTGGTTATTAGGAATCTTTGTGTCATTCAATTTTGAATCTTAATTAACATCAACTTTCTCAATATCTGTCATAATGCCATCGTACTCTTGGGTCCTTGTTTGAGGTTATAGAACTTAATACCTCACTACGAAGGGTAACCTTAAAGGAAATACACAAAGGACCCAACCTGAGTCTTATTCATGAAAATGTGGTATAACATCTATGAAGTAAATGACTTTGACCTGACTGCCATTTACTGGCAATATGTTTGCATTTCTTAGAAAGCAGACATTCTAATACTGTAAAATGAATATTGTAAAACTTTAGGTCTAGGAAAGGGGATGGTCGCACCAGAATTCCGAGCAAGCTATGAGTTTTTTTTCACCTGTAATTTTTGAGCCCTGCTTGTGTACAATGTTGTTTGAATTTAAATGAAGTGTGTGTGTGTGTGTGTGTGTGTGTGTGTGTGTGTGTGTGTGTGTG